ACCTACTTCTAATGTGTGTGAAAATGTTGACCGTCCCCAACTGTAATTAATTACATTCATAAATCGTCGACTAATAGGTAACAATGTTGCGCCCAAATAAATCGGGATTTATAATAGACCACCTTTCTCTATGTTTTAATGTCTTTAAGTAAATATACTTATAAGGCCCAAAAGTCCTCTGAACAGCTTTTCAATGGTTTTTGCATTGCCAATGAAATTAGATGCATTTAGTTTAGCCCAGCAGGAATATTCGGGATGCCGATCAACCCAAACCGCTCCTTTACAATTGATCCAACATACATTTGTTGATTTATAGAAAACATGTGATTGTCTAGACAGAGAGTATATAGCTCCAAAAATATGGAAATCTTCAAAAATATAGTGGGAAGTGCTGTAGATTAGCTGGCCTCTTATCGGTCAATGTTTTAATAAGCACGGACAATAATAGCGCGCCATTACGTTAAATGCAGCATATTGCATTGAGTTGGATCGGCAAGGGACTATTTTGGCACCGATTCTCTTCCATGTCGTGATAAATTGTACAATCACAAATTTTCATTGGTACAGTCTGCTGGTGGCGGGCATAAATCCGCATAATTTTGAGGAAGAATGTAAATGTGTATCCGCATCTGTGGCGCATAGGAATTGTTTAAATAATCTACTCATAGTGAGTGCCTTCTCATGAACCTCAAAATGGTTGGTGTTGCTTTTAGAAATGGATGAGCATATCAGGCTAGTGGAAATAATTTTTTGAAAAGAAAATAACAAGCAAGACCATGCGGAAAATGTTGTTGAGGTTCCAATTTTAATAAAAACTAAAATTTAAACACGAAATCACTGGAAATGGTGAAATGAGGTTGCAGTTTAAGGGTTGAAAACGTTTTTTTGCGATCTGCGCCGAAAAGTGACCTCCTAGCCTAAAACGCTCAATGGCAGAGTTAAAAATAATAAAGAAATCTAAAACTTCTGTATTAACTCTTTTTGACATAATCTCAAATTAACCGTTAAAATGGCGAAAAACCGATTTTCCAGTAAGTAATTCATTTTTTTCTCGCCCAAAAATGATATAATTTGCATGAAGATCTGCAAAATTATGTGTTTTTTGGTGTGAAATAAGCATAATTTTTTTGCAGGTCAGAATACCATTAGCTTTCGAGTCATGGACATTTTTGGAAAAAACTATCTACTGTTATCTTCCACGAACATTGTCTTGATATTTTTGTGCGTTTCAAAGGTCTATACGAGCTCATAAGAGTGGGTTTCAAATAGATTTCTAATCATAGTTGTATTCCTGCACTAATATGTGTGAGCAAAGATTTTATATTAGCTAATTATATTATTTAACCTTTTCAACATGGTTTGAGCTTGGCTTGAGAATTATTTTCTAAACTGTAATAATCTTACATGAAAGAAACTTATATTATGTAAATATAGTCCACTATTAGTAAAAGTAATTGTATATACTTTCCTGACTGTGTTTCAATTCCAAATCAAAATATTCCTGGGTTTCAGTCATTTATTGTCTTTATTTATCAATTAAAATACGTTTCGGTGTATTTTTCCACCATCATCAGTTTTTCTAAAATAACATAGTTAAAATTTTTTTTTATTAATTTAAAAAACAATCACAGTTCGTCAACAGCCTCATCATATCACACATTAAAATACATCACAATTGCAACACTTTAAAACATTCTAAAATTAATTAGGCCTAACAGGTGATTAGTCAGGACAATCAAATTTGGGAAGAGACTAGAATTCTTTGTTCAGATACTTAAATATTTTTACTTACACATGTAGCGTTGTTGCAGCTTTAAGCCTTGGCATACATTTGGAGTATTAATTTTGTCCATTTTGGACACAAAACGAATAAAATATTGTTTATATTGATTTCTTTTACTTTCAGCT